AAAAATAGTAATCTTGACTTTCACACTAGTAAGATACGTACGGAGTAGTATTTATTTATCTTAATTCATACTTCCTCTGTCCCCCCAAATAAGTTCTTACTTTCCTTTTTGGGTAGTCCCTAAATTAAGTTCACACTTCAACACTTTCCTTATTTGACAAATTATCCACATCAAAACAGTGTCAAGCAGTGTTCAAACAGGGTTTAAACAGTGTCAAACAGTGCACTCCACAGTAAAGTCAAGTTTATTTTCTTAATATGTGCGAAGTCAAACCAGGAACTTAATTGGGGGACGGAGGGAGTATTAATCAATTCATCTATCCCACTAGTTGTATTTCTATTTTTCTTTTTGCTCCCTTCATTAAGTTTATCGCATTTAGTGTACAGTGACACTTGGGTGGCCACATACGTTTTTTCATTTATCTTCTTATTGAATATTGTCTTTATTTTGTAAATTGTCATATAAACAATTCAAATGTTTTTAATTAGAGTGATTTCGATCGCATACTAGACTAGACGTAAAGAGATTAGACCTACTAAGATTTTAACAGTTGTAAAACGCACAGAATAGACATCTAACAGATTAGATCCGCTTAGATCAGACTAAACTAGATCAAACTTAAACATATCAAACCCCGATGAATTGATATTTGATCAGACTAGACCATAATTGTTTTATCTAATTAAAAACATCCTTTTTGGTGATATAATTATATAAATTAATCTTTTTTTTTACCCCGGAAGGTCAACCACCAAAATCAGTGGGGTAAATGCCGGGGGACATTTACCAGGATTTTATTAAGAAGAGAGAGATACAAAAAGAGGGGGACTAAACCAGAACCTCTTAAGCACAACAAAGGTTACAAGAAAAACCAAAAAACCAAGATGGGGGGACGATACCTTACCCAAGATGGTGTACAATAATACCAGAAACTAAAATTTAATCGAAGGAATCCCAAACTTATCCATATAATAGGCTCTTCTAGCGCGGAGAGGTAAGGAAGTCGGCCCGTTAAACAATTTGGAAAAAGGGCCCAAGTGTTCTGCAGCTAAGTAATGGGCCGCCCAGTTGCTATTGCGTGTGACGTGTTCAAGGACCATTCCACTCTTATCAGCAATTAGCCTACTTTCCAGAATAGGTATTATCCATCGTCTACCCTCTTCCTTACGCAGCATGTCAATAGCAATGTAAGAATCAGATTCCACCTGAAGGTCAACAAAATGTTCATCTGCAGCCCATTTTATCGCAGTCATGAGAGCTTGGAGTTCCGCTTCAATCGGAGACGCAGCTACCACCGGGAAGCTCGTTGCAATAATAAACTCCCCTTTTTAGTTCCGAATAATCGCTCCACCAGTCGCAACCCCAACTAAGTAGCCTGCATCTATATTCATTTTCAACCCGCTTCTAGGTTTCTCCCATCGAATGATTCGTATCTGAGTTCCTTTAGCTTTAAAATTATAGGGAACCAGATGTTCCTCCTTAAGAAACAAGTCCACTGAGCGATATTTCTGTGCTGGAAAACTGAGGGCCCACCGTTGGGTGTACAACTTAGTTTGGAAGATGATGTGTTCAGTAGTACAAGGTGAGTCTCCATTCCCCCAAATTATATTGGTGTAGATCTTCCAAATTTGCCAACAAATGATGCCTGCCATATTGTGTTTGAAAGTATCAATAATCCCCTTAGAACCCGCATTGATCACCAGTTTCAGAATACTTGAGCAATAGAATCCACATAAGAATTAGGGATTTGGAAAATCCCCATGAAATAACTCCACACTGGCCTTACAATTTTGCATTGATAGAAAAGATGCTCTAGTGTGTCCACATGAGCTCTGCACAGAACACATATAGAAGGTTTTAAGATCCATTGGAATCTTTTCATCTTATCAGTGATAGGAAGGATGCCCTTAACAATTTTCCACTGAAAAAGTTTTATTTTAAGTTCCTGTTGGGGATGCCAGATGTGTATGTGTAAAGGTCATTGTTGTGTTTTGATGATCTCTTGCTTCATTATAGGCTGATTTAAAAGAGAACTGACCATTGTCTTCACTATCCCAGATTAGAGTACCTGAACTATCAGTAGAGCATAAGGAGCTGGCCAAGTCATTAATGAAACAGATTCTTCTCCAAGTGACTGAATCAGTAACTCTAGGTAACATATCTTCCCCTCTATTATATCTTTTTTTGATAAAGTCCACCCATAGAGTATTCCCAGTCTTCCACTTCCACCACAGCTTAATAGAGAATGTTTTTTCAATGTCAATGAGAGACCGAATTCCCAAGCCACCCTCATCTGTAGGATAACATAAGTTGTCCCATCTAACCCAGTGAAATTTCCTTTTTTTCATTAGAAGAGTCCCATAAAAAAGATGCCATCTTACTATTCAGGATTTGAATAACTTTCCTTGGCAAAATGTCAACTGCTAGAGTATGTAGAGGCATGGTATTGAGAACATGTTTGATAAGAATCAATCTCCCTCCCTGAGATAGATTTTTTTGCTTCCAAGGGGAAAGTTTACTTTCAAACTGTTTAATAAGAGATCCACTGTAAATGATTTTTTGTCAAATTAATATGTATACTTCAAATTTCATTCTTATAAATTAATAACTTTGTGAACATGTTTAAAATACACAGAAATCATACATTTACCAGACCAGTTCAGACCAGACCAGAATAGATTAGACCAGATCAGTAAATTTCAGTTCAAATAAAAACATCCCTAATTTCAAAGTTTTTTGGAGTCAACTAAAAAAGACAAGAATGATAAAAAGATAAAATATTATGAAATAGAGTTTATATATATATATAAGATTATAAAAAATAATATATTTTCAAAAGATTATAAATGCAAATATATTTCATATGAAAGATCCTAAAAAATTATTTAATTCAGTATATATTTGTCAAAATCCGAGAGTAAATGTAAATAGCACGTAATATAACATTTAAAAAAATTGTTCGACACATTTTTAAAAAAAAATATATTTGCATTTCAATTTAAATTGAATAAAATTGGACTCATCCGTAATTACTAAAAGTGGCATATAATGGGTTTTGTTTTTAACTTTAAGGGAGTAGTTATACAATATATATCGTCCAAATAGAAACTTTAGTTAAAAAAAAAGGTAAAGGGTGCAAAATGGTCCACTTAAGGTTACGTTTAGCAACCTTGGGGGTGCGCCTTGCAATCCCCTTAGCAAGTAATGTGAAGACCACACAAAGAATCAATTCATTCATCACCAAATCAATCATCAACATAGTGCTCTCTCCTTTCCTTAAAACTTTACCGAGTTTGACTGACACTAGAATTAATAAAGTAGAAACTACTCCGTATGTAATTGGGGGTGCGCCTTGCAATCCCCTTAGCAAGTAATGTGAAGACCACACAAAGAATCAATTCATTCATCACCAAATCAATCATCAACATAGTGCTCTCTCCTTTCCTTAAAACTTTACCGAGTTTGACTGACACTAGAATTAATAAAGTAGAAACTACTCTATATGTAATTGGTGTTTGTGCAAAGGAGAGATTATTAACTTAAAAGGGAAAGTGACAAAGTAAATGCGACAATCAAAAAAAGAGAGTTAGTAAATTTTAAGGGATGGAAGAAGCAAAAAATGTCATTTGTACACATTTTTGTATGTGCTCGTATATTTTGTCGGTATATGAGACAATTCGTTTACAATGTTGTAGAAATTATTGTAACTTTGTACTACATGATTGTGATACTACCAAAATGTATAAATAGTATATATTGTTGTAGGAATCGGCCGGATAAACCTGCAAAAAATCATTAGAAAAATAATATAACTCGAGACGTATCAGACGTTGTCCTCAAGAAAGTATTCCCGACTAGCGAAAACTTTTCCTCAAGATATAACGAGATCTTCGGCTTAAGCCGGTAACAGAACAACGAGAATGAACAATTATATTAATCCAGCAGAGAGTGAGAATATTGGGGAATGTCTTAGCTCAAAATTATTCTACTATATATAACGGTGAGAAGCTCTCAAGCTCATAGCCGAATACACATATATATACATGCAAGCGTTGAAATTGCTGCATTAGAGCACTCAACGTTCATATTAATAATAAATAGTATTAATGTTGATAATCCCCATCTTAAAGCAACGGTTCAAGTGCTCAACTCCCACTAACGGATGAAACATTTAAATATAAATATTATGAGAGAAATCATTTTCACTACCAAGTTGATAGCTCGTGAAAGCAACGCAGGTCCCTAACAAAATAAGTTTAAAAGCTAAAACTATCCATACGTTGGAGCTTAAAGACTAATCAATACACTAATAATAATGATGATAATAATGATAATAATGATAATAATAATAAAAATAACAATAATAACAATAACAATAATAACGATAACGATAACGATAACTATAACCATAACAATAACGATAACAATAACGATAACAATAACGATAACAATAACGATAACAATAACGATAACAATAACGATAACAATAACGATAACAATAACGATAACAATAACGATAACAATAACGATAACAATAATGATAACAATAACGATAACAATAACGATAACAATAACGATAACAATAACGATAACAATAACGATAACAATAACGATAACAATAATAATAACAATAATAATAATAATAATAATAATAATAATAATAATAATAATAATAATAATAATAATAATAATAATAATAATAATAATAATAATAATAATAATAATAATAATAATAATAATAATAATAATAATAATAATAATAATAATAATAATAATAATAATAATAATAATAATAATAATAATAATAATAATAATAATAATAATAATAATAATAATAATAATAATAATAAAAGCTAGCTGCTAATCACATCAACCGTTTTTGTTTTTGCTAATAATAAAAACACGTTGAAAACTTATTTTCATTATAGTTGTCATTTTATTATGTATACGAGATGGAATAGAACTTTTATACTCTAAAAGACTTTTCTTTTTTGGAGGAACTTTGGTCGATTTATTTCTTCCATGTTTCAATCCAAATCTTTCATGAATGGACTTCCTTTCAAAGTTTTGTCTCATGCATGGATCTTCAGTGTGCTTCATCATCATCGGACTTGTTCCAAACCGTCCTTGTAAAGTCTTCTTCATAACTTTCTTTGGTTTTGGACCCAATCTATCAAAGATGGCGGGCCTTGATCTTCCCCCCTTAATTCGATCAAAGATAGAGAACTTTAGTTCAGAAGTCACTTCATCTTCTTCATCGGCACTAATATGATATATTGTGGCTCTATTTATGAAGATCTTTATAGGTTTAGGTTTAACATAACTCAATCCAATGTGCCATCGTAAATTGATTTGCTTCGGTGTCTCGTCTCCACCAGCTTCTAGAATAAGATTCCCTAACTTTTGTTCGTTATGATTATACTCGGCTTTGGCAAGGAGCTTGTACGCGTTCAGGTTAAATCCCTTTTTCGTACGTGTGTTAGGGAGCTTAGCACCACATTTCTTTTCAGCTTCCTCTTTAGAGGCCTTTTGAGGAGGTTTCGATATCTCAATTTGTGCAAGAGGGAATGTGAGCCCCTCCACACCTTCAACAAGTCAAAGGTCGATAAACATCATTTCCTTTAGCATCATTATCTTTAAACAATTTGACCTTTGAGTAAAACTTGCATCACCAAAGTAGGACTCAGCTTGTGTGAATGGGGCCTCATCAGCGAGTACCTTCTTTACAACGCCATTTTCCTCATACATAAAACATCGGTGGCATGTCGAAGGTATTACGCCGTTTTCATGAATCCATGGGCATCCTAACAGAAGATTGTATGAGGCTTTGGCATGAATAACATGACATGGAGTACTTGCTTTCAATTCACTGATGACTAGGTCAAACCTTATCATCCCTATCGCCCTTTGCCCCCTTGATTGAAACCTTGAATCATTAAACAGCTTTCAGAGAGTTCATCCATTAATATTCCAAGATCTTTTATAGCCCTAACTGTCAAGATATTAACAGCGGACCCTTGGTCAATCATGATTCTTTTAAACTTTCTTCCACGAGTATATCCTTCCACGAGTAATCCAGTAAACTAACAGACAAAGAAAGACGGAAACAACTTATTATATTTGAGAATTGAACACACAGATCAATCAAGGTAAGCCAATACGATACCAATGTTATAATTACTCGATTAAAAATCTGGAATAACATGAAGAAAGAAAAGGAAACGATGAAGAAGATTAGTCGACGGCTAAATGGCTTGCGCAGGCGACCATTCCGGCGAGTCGGCGATAACTTGCGGCAATGAACGCATCGGGACCTCCGACCGATGAGAAGGATTACTCTGTGTATAAGTGTGGTCATCAAATGCTCATGGCGTAACAGCAAATCCAAAGCCAGAGGAAGGATTATTTGCGTATGTTTCAACGCAGCAGCAATCGATTGCCCGCGACGAGGTTAATTTTGTCCATCCGCTCAAAATTAGTCCTATTTAGGATTTAAAAACTCTTAACTCCTATTTACATTCCCAACTTTTAATTTAGTCCTATTTAGGTCGATTTCCCAATTTTTTTCTGAAATTTGCTATGGATGAACTAGACTTGATGAGGAACATACACAAAAAATTTGAGCAAAAAATACCACCGGAAAGGCCCCCAAATAGATGAAGCCGGACGGTGCTCCTGTCCGGAAATTCCGGACAGGAATAGCTCTCGATAACTACAACACAACATAACCCTAAACCAAACAACTTCGCCTCATATATACGCTTCATACATTTGGTAGTATCACAATCATTTAATACAAAGTTACAATAATTTTTACAACATTGTAAACGAATTGTCTCATATACCAACAAAATATACGAGCATATACAAAAGTACATATTTCTCAATGCTAAGAAAATAACTTATTACTACCTCCGTTCCATTAACATTGGGACTTGAGAGAATAACACGATTATTAAGAAAAAGAGTATATGTGGTTGATTTTGAATGAATAAAGTAAGAATAAAGTAAAATTGATTTAGTCATGCGGACTTTACAAAATTTGAAATGAGACAATATTAGTGGGAATTCCCCAAAAAAATGAGATAATCTTAGCGGGACGAATGAAGTAGGCTTTTTTGTTGTTAATTTTGTGATTGAAATCAATAATTGATATTATTAGGCTATTTAGGTGTTAAATTTGTAATTGTTGTCAAATTTGTAATTGTTTGACACAATTACAAATGGAGCATCTCGTTTACGTGATCTTTCAGTATTCCAGGCAGTGTTGTTCCAACAGCACTGTTGTTGATAGTGGTGCACTCGGACCGGGTGGCCCGACCCAGAACTGGCTGGTACTGTTGGGCCCGACCCGACCCGGTGGCCCGTCCAGGGACCGGTCCGGGCATGCCCGGCCCGTGGGGTTTTCCGATGCGGGCTCGGGTCATGTAAATAAGGAACCGGCCCGGCCCGGCTGGGCCCGGTTCAGGCCATATTTTTTTTTTCAATTTTTTTGAAAACCCGGGTTGGGTTGGGTATTCTGGGCCATTTGGGGTGGTTGGGGAGGTGGGGGTCGGGGTTAATTAGGAAAAGGAAAAAAATAGAAATTGGCCCGACCGGGCCCGAATCGGCCCAGCTCCACCCCTGGCTGTTGAGCCGCTTTGTGACCCGTTCCCATAAACATTAATATGGACTTGAACTTCAACCAGATTCTGCAAGTCCACATTTCTTCGTTTCCTAGATTCTCCTTCCTCTAGACCTGTAAAATTAGACAGTATGCATATTTGTATCACTGTAAAATGCTGAGACTAGCATCTCGTTAATTTGTAGATAAAAATGAATATATGAGCACAAAACATTGGTATGCATCTATTTCTGATCACTTTTTATTAATTGAATGTCATTGCAGTACAGAACACAAAAAAATAAAATGGTATCTATAAGGCAAACTAACAATATAAGTACTGATCATGTTTGCCTTCTCACTAATGGGATGATAGATCCAAAGTGAAGTCTTTCCCAATAGGCAGATTTAGCCCAGGGATCTCCACAACACCGGTGCTATTATTCAATCCAAGAACAGTAACTTTCTCTATAATCCAACCACTGCTGACAGCAAAATCCGGGTTTGTGACCGCTGACGTAAGAGTTACATTATCCCCAACAGTCTTGGTTTGGAAATGCACTAAGCTCCATTTGCCTCCCACACCGCCCATTTCGACCTCTTCTCCATCATCCAAGAAAACTTCACCAGAACTGTCCCGGGTGCTGCCAAGTGCCACCACAAGCTCAAATGAAGTGTTCCTGGCTGCCTGTGTAGTTAAACCTTCTCCCTGCAATGCTAGAATATGTCCTTCCCGGAGATGAACATTAATGTGATCGAGAGGAGCATCAAGAGTCACATTACCCCCAGATTCTGACTTCACAGAGTTGGAATAGTTGAAGAGGTCATACCATGTTCCGGCTGGGAAATATGCTTCAACTGAGACAGCACCACTGGTTAGTACAGGGGATATCAGCACGCCCTCGCCGATGAGGAACTGGGAGTAGACTTCGTGTGTGTTGATGTCATTAGGGAATGAAAAGAAAAGCGGCCTTGCGATAGGGACCCCACGAAGGTGTGCCTCGTACATTAATGTGTAGAAGTATGGGAGCAGGCGGTAGCGCAACCCCAGCACTTTCTTGGCTGATGCAGCCACTGATTCCCAGATGTACGGCTCATGACGGTTGCTCGACTTGTCCCCATGGTTTCTTGAAAATGGATAGAATGCCCCTAACTAAAATTCAATAACATTATTTCAAAAAGAAAAAAAATACATCCAAAAACATCAATTTTTAATAAGTAGACCGAGTTAAGAAGACACTTATCGTTATCGGGTCAGGGGAAAGCATCTTTTTAGTCCTTATCATAAGACACAATTGACCACAACACAATAACTAAGGTAAGTAGTTAGATTTATTTTGACCACAACACAATAACTAAAATAAGAATACAACACAAATGTGTCTTTTACTAAGTAATACATAGTGACAATGGTGGTATGGTTGTATTTTTGAACTAACATTGAAGTATTGTGACCATGCAGACATGTTTTAGTAATATTTAGGAAGATCAAGGCTGTTTTCATATAACAATACTACATCAGATACTACAGCAAAAACATATAGACACAAACATAACAATGGGGTCACTGCGGTTGATGCCCTAACATAGTAAATGACAAATCGCCATGGTCACCGCAGTTGATGTGAAAATATCATTATGGTCACTGTGCAATAGAAGTCATATTTTGTCCATTACTTTTATTTTAGTCATAATTTTTATAGTATTTCTTACATGTATGAATGCAGGCAGTAAGAAAATGAATATTTGAGTGAAAATAGAAAGCATTTCTTGGGCTAATTTATGAAGAAAATGTGATATGAAAAGCATTTATTTTAGTTCCGTTTATTGTTACCTGCATCCACCGCTGGCAAAGTTCTTCAGTGGTACTTCTAGCAAAGCCACAAATGTCAGCGCCAACCATGGGAATGCCAAAAAGTCCAGAATTCAAAATTGCTGGAATGCTGAATGCCAAATCATCCCAGCTGGCCGCATTGTCACCAGTCCAGTGTGCAGCATACTTTCCAGAACCCACAAAAGTAGACCTGCTCAGCACAAAAGGTCTCTTCCCAGTAACATTCAATAAAGCTTGGTGAGTAGCCTTTGATTCCAGAAAACCGTACAGGTTATGAACGTCATACTCCACAATGCCACCAAAATGTTGGGCTGTTGCTGGGACAGTCCTCTCGTTGATCGCCCTCTTGTTTCCGGAGTTATTAATCTGGTAAGGAGGGTTGTCGAGGGTGGAATTTGAATCGGAAGGAGATGTTATGAAATTTGACGGTTCATTCATGTCAATCCAAAGACCATCGAATTGAATGGTCTCTCTGAACATATTGATCTCACTACTCCAAAAGGCTGTGGTGGCTGGGTTTACAAAGTCAGGAAAATATACATTCCCTGGCCAAACTTGTCCTTGATAAGGCACACCGCCACGCTTGATGTAAATATCAGCTTCAAGCCCTCTCTTGTAGGTGCCATATGACTCGTTTATACCAATCCCTGGCAATTTATTTATTTAAGAAAATTGAAACTAAATTAGGAGCAGGAATGATTACTTAGGTTAAGTATCTCCAACTAATGCTTATCCGAATTCTAAGAACAGGTTCATTATTTGACTTGAAGTGTTAATATTGATCATAATAAACTCCGGCTTCCCCAAAACAAGCTTATAATCTAATTATGACAGTTAAGAATGTTACATACTCATTCAGAAATTAAAAATGATCAATCACACATTCATTTACTTAATATAAAATTAGTTTTTAATCTTACCTTCTACTTTTTGTATACTCTCTAGTGTCTCCTATAAATCAATATCGCTACAATAGTACAATTTTCTTCTTAAAACCCTGGAAACTCCTACTGAAGCATTGAGAGAGGATAAATGTTACTAGTATATAATTATTTGTATGTATAATGTATAGGTAAGAGATTTACATTAGAAACCTAATTCTCACAATGTGAATTTAATTCGTGAGAGGGATAATTGTCAACTTGATCTGACCTGGATCAACAATCACAACATATTTTTGGGAATTCTTATGAAGCCGATCAACAAACGCTTTCATCCTATCAGCGGGGAAGTTCACTGGATCCAAAGTGAAATCCTTGTAGGCATCCATGTAATCAATATCCGTCCACATAACCTCAAGTGGTATTGAGGCGTTTGCATAGCCAGCGACTACACCTTCAAGGTCATCGACATCCTTGTAACCATAACGGCACTGGTGGAATCCTGCAAAGGCAATTCCAATCATGATTAGTCTCTATGGTAGAAAGCTTCGCTTGTTTACAATGTTCTAACCAGCATGCGGTTCTAGAATCTTCTAGACATGCAACAGACCGAGGTCTAGTCCCTAAACATGGCTTGAGCTTAAAGATTACATCCTTTGTGTTCAGCTTTCACAGATACAAGTGAAAAAGGAAAGAGGGTCTAAATACTGAAATAGTGAAAAATGATTAGGCGGGTGAATTGAAGTCAAAATAGAAACAGGATAACAAAACCAGAGCGGTTAAATAGGAGTGCTAACCAAAAGACCAGTAAGGCATAGGGGCAGGACGGCCGATGAGATCGGTGTACTGATCCAAAACCAGCTCCGGCGTGGGACCCGGGAAGAAATAGAGGTCGAGGATACCGCCGATCGCCTTGTACGTGATCCTGTCGCCGGTGTAGACGACGTCCATGCCGTTGCTATTGAGAAGCAAGACGCCATGGGCGGCTCCGGACGAGCGGAGGTCCAGGTAAAAGGGGTGGGATCCATACAGATTGAGGTCGCGGTTGAAGCTAGCGATATCAGCCGCCCAGAGCGTCAAGGTCTGAGGGCTCTGGAGCTTGAACGTTCCTTTCGTGTGCTCTCCGATCCCGTACAGAGACGAGCGGTTGGACGGCAGTGAAGACGACAGCTGTAGGTACTGATCCTTGAAGATCAATAGCGTTTCGTTGTTAGATCCGTTTGTTGTCGGTGATGCATCGAAGAGGATGTCCTTTGAGGATTTCCGGTGGACGGAGAAGCCGAAAGGGGTGGTGTTGAAGAGACTGAAAACGAGATCTGAGGTCGGGTGAGTGATGGATAATCCGTCAGTAGTGTTCTCTCCCTCCGATAATGGTAATGCAGATGAAGAATTTGCTGCTTTCCGGGGTATGAACTCTTCTGGGATTTCCCATCTCTGCTTATCTGCATCTGTGATCTTTACTCTCAAACGGCCTCCATTCTCAAAGCTGCATCCAATAACGCATTATCACTTGATTGATGAATTAATATCCACTTGATTCATAACAAAACGATCAAAGCTCAAATTTTGTGTACTTGTTTGAATCCAGTTTGAACTTGTTTACGTAGTATATCCTCACGAAAACGAAAAAGGGTGACAGGATTATTAAGAAAAGTGGGTTTGTGTGGTTGATATTAATTGATAAAGTAAGAATGATTTAGAGCCACACAAACTTTGCCAAATATGATATGTGACAATTTAAGTGGGACTTCCCGAAAAGGTAAAACGGGACAATATAAATGGAACGGAGGGAGTAAATAAAAATGGAATAATGGACAAAAATAATCCTAACTATTGATTGATTCAAATAATTCAAAGTAACAATTATCTCAAAATAATTTCAACTATTGAGAAATCATTTAAAAGTACTCAACTTGCTCATTATTTATGGATAAATAGTTGAGATTATTTTGAGACAATTGATACTTTGAATTATTTCAAGCAGATCACTAATAGTTGTGATTAACTGATTATACTTGTTCAATTTCCAATAAAAAATGATCTTGTCCGGTTGTCCCTACAATTTAAATTTAATTAAATAAATGATCAACTGTATAATTTAAATTTTATTCATCTATGTGTCACATCAAAATTAGTTGAATGAAAGTAATATTATTTACAATAATCAATATGCAGAAATATATCTCCATTTAAAATATACTCCCTACATTATAACAAAACTGTTGGACTCATAGTAAAAAATGCTTCCATTGATCATTATCATAATTTATTTGACAAGAAATTGAACACATTTGAGACTTGACTTCTCACCTGGCAACAAGGCTCAGATTCACAATGTCTGGTCCAAGAACAGAAGAGTTCTGGATGACTTGAAGCCGAGCAGTCAGCGACCGGCCGGAACCATCAACGACCGACGAGATTACTTGATACCCTGATCCAATCTGTCCCTGGTCTTGGGCATCTGAAGGTGTAGTTGTATGAAGAAAAAATGACAAAATGTAGAAGAAATAGCATAGTCTCTTGCTGTTCACGGACATGGTTATGGAAGACTAGGCTAGACAATGAAAAACCACTAAATTCTTACACTATTTATACCCGATTGATGGCATGTGCTAATAAATATTTCAGGCCACTTTAGGTTACTAAATTTTGCTTTGATGATAGAATAAAATTTCAAGAAACGTATACTATATATGTTTCATCAATCATTAGGAATTTATTTATTATTATATGATTAGCCAAGAGAATAGTACGTTCTCAATGACAAATTATTATTATTATTATGGGAAATTCACACTTTTAGTCCCTGAAATAGGACAAAAATGAAATGTCGGATCTGTATTTCCAAGTTTGTAAATGTCATCCCTCAATTGTCCTAAACGCTGTAAGTGTGGTCCTTTTGAGGGGTGAAATATAAAATATGGACGATAGTACATTTCACCTCTTAAAGGACCACATTTACAACAATTTGGACAATTGAGGGGTGACATTTACAATATCAGAAATACGGGTCCGACATTTCATTTTCGTGACTACTTTAGGGACTAAAAGTGCGATTTTCCCTATTATTATTATATTATATTATTATATTTTATTTTACTGGAAATGCGTTGAAAAAGTAATGATCATAATATTTTTTGATATGTGGTAGTCGATGAAAATACATTTAACTTCAAACAATAATTAATTAATTTTTGTAAATGAAATAAAAACACATAAGAGTGTATGTTCTTTTAAACTCATTTTGAGTTTGGGCTTGTCTTGGTAACCCTATTTTCAGCTGACCACTCTTACAAGTCAATTTATCTTACTAAATATAATTTTTTTGATTTTGCGATTTGAATTATGTAATAAAACTAATAAGTAGTGTTTAAGTTACTTTTATAGCTGAATTGACAGAAATTTACCGCAACAAACTATTTTAGTTATTTTTTCATATAATTTCTTATTATTTTAATAATAAAATAAATTTTGAATTTAGGGGGTGTTTGGAACTGATTCTGCTTCTGATTCTTCTTTAAATGCAGAAGCAGAATCAGAATCAGAATCAGTTTTCAGAAGCTGGTATCCCCAGCTTCTAAAAAAACTGATTCTGAGAGTAAATTAGAGCTCCAGAAGTGATTCTGGAATTTTACTCAAACACTCCAGCTTCACCATCTGCTCCATGAAGGAGCAGAACCAGTTTTGAGAATCAGATCCAAACACCCCTTAATCTTTTCTATAATTGAGCATATTCAGTATATCAACAAAGATTTCACAAATTCTAGAAGATATGGGCCTCTTTTGTTATTCAGTGGCTCGTTAGCTAACCGCTGCATTTTGAAGCGCTTTGCTGTTAAAATTAATCACCAATTTGCAATGACACAATTTATTTCTAATATAATCCAAAAGAAAATTATTTGTGAAACGATTTAATTCATACACACTCCCGTACGAAATACAAAATATGAACACAAAAGTAGGCAAAAAAACCATTCTTATTAAAAAAACGCCTAGGTGTAGACCAGTGCGGCTGCCACGTAAGCCCATTGCCTCCGTCCAAGAACTTTATCCGAATTTTCTGTATAAAAGGAAACCATATCATCACATTAAAATGACATTAAATATGAATGATTGAAGGATTGCGTGTTGGCTACAAATTTCATTCACATTCACAATTCACATCATTATGAAGTGTACAAGCGAAAGAAAAGCCACTATATAACTTCTTTCCTTTTAGAGCCCTAAAAGTGAGGTAAATTTTTCTTATTAATTTTCTTTAATTTCTGTTCCAAATTAATCTCAATAAAAATAGGGCAAGTTCCCGAAATAGGACAAAAAATGTTTGTAAATTCCAAAATAGGATTGTTATGTTTTTATTCCCAAAATAGGAGTAATTACTACCAAGTTTGGAAAATACTGTCATGTTTAAAGTCTGATACTGTCAAAACATGACTGTAATTAGTCCGATTTGAGAATTAAAAACATGGCAGTCCTATTTTGGAATTGACAAACGTTTTTAGTCCTATTTAGGGTAAATTCTCATAAAAATATTGTGTGTAAGGATGTTTTGTTTTGGATTGTTTTCAGTTCCAAATAAGATCACATCAGATTTAAACAGACCTGACCAGACAAGATCAAATCAGACTTAAATAATTATAAAATACATAGAGAACATAGTTTACGAGACCAGATCAAACCAGATTAGATAAGCAAATTCAGTCCAAAAGAAAACATCCTAAATAATTTGATATTTATAGAAAATATGATGAAAAATGAGGTACATGTAAATTGATAAAGAATTAAAAGTAGTTAAATTTTTTAGACTAAAGTGTCAAATAGGCTCTCGAACTAACTTAAAAAATGCAATTCACCTCTAATATAGAGTCTTTGTCCGGCCGTCGCCATTTGGGGCGGTTGATGGTGGAATTTTTTGATGAAATTTTTAGAGAATCTTCTTCATTAAGTCTAGTACACTCATACCAAATTTCAAATAAAAACTCATCCGGGAAGACAGTCAAATGATTTTATGAAATGTATTGCGCTGTTTAACTGTGCAGTTATCTTTAAAAATTCATTTGACTGCCTTCCCGATTGCATTTTTAGCTGAAATTTGGTATGAGTGAACTAGACTTAATGAAGAAGATGCTCAAAAAAATTCATCAAAAATTCCACCGGGAACCGCCTCAAATGGGACGCCCAGACAGAGCTTCCTATATAAGGCGTGAATTGCACTTTTTAAATTAGTTTGAGGGCTATTTGACCCCTTCAGCCAATTTTTTATCTTAATTTAAAAGTGGTTGATTTTTTTTTTTTTGAACGGAAACTCGCCTCTATTCATATCATAAGTTTTAGGATCATTACATCAATCAAAGGAAAAACAAATCTGACACCAACTAATCTCCAACAACTACGACTATAAACCCTATGATCAGACTTAGAGACGGTCACCCATGAAAGAGCAACACGAATCGCTAATTATGAAGCGGGCTTGACACAGCTATCTCTGGTCACATAGATCCAAACACTCCCAATGACATAAAAAAAATGCTAAATTTCCAAACAAACTGACAAACCTAACACCATAGACGTTAACAAGAATCCAATGACAAAATAATAATAACTAAAATAAAAACAAGTACGGCTAATGGAAAAATAAAATTGAAATAAAGTCGTTCCACAATACTCTTCATGATATGGAGGTAGTTCTGGAGGAGGGCGAGTTATGCCAATGTCTTCGCACTCTAGAAGAAGGCAGAGAGAAATCCTTGACTAGACGAAGCTAGTCGGGACACCAAAAGAACTCCCCACATAGAGAGAGACAAACCACCCCGAAGCACCAGTGCCTGGGAAAGAACCATCATAAACAAAATCAACACAACCAGAAAAGAAGAATGATCCAATTGGATCATACCACTATAAAAAAATACTACGTATAAGTTTTGATGCCATCATTAGATAGTTTGAGTCACTGCATCACAATAATACGTGAATAAGGGGAAAAGGTTGCTAGTATGATTCGATGCCTTGCCTACTCGACCGCTTGAGAGATCACAATGATCGGAAAAGGAGCGGCACCTAAAAAGTGGTTGAATTAAAAACTCCATTTGTTTCTACGTATTGTCTAACTTTCCTTTTCATGTTGTTCCAAACTAATGTCTCATTTTCTTCCTCGAAGATAATCTAACTCAAAATAGTGATAATGTACTTAAATAAAGTGTATAATGTTGTAACACTACCAAAAGATCATATTTTTCAATTGTCATCCCTAAGATCATCTCCATCTATCCTCATCGAATATCCAATTTTTTATGTTTTTCTCTTGTCATATCATTATCACATAAATAAAATCAAAGTTTGCTAACCCCCCACATGATCTCTATTTATTTAATTTTTAAAGGAGTTTTTTTGTCATTTCCAAGAAGGTATTTTAGTAATTTCAAATTAAAAGACATGATTGCATTAAATGTGTTTATTGAAACTTGGGAGTAATTCTGAATAATCTAGAATTCAATATTTAATAGCATATTTTTTTATCTAAATAATTTTTCAAAATAATCTCATGTACTCAACCACACTACAAAAAAAATTCGTCATTGGGTCGGATTTTGGCACAGATCGCTTCACAAAAATCCCAGACGGTCGCTTTTGCCTCGGATAGGGCACATATATGAAATCCGACGCACCTGGCTTGTGCCAAAGCATTTGGCACGGAAAACATCATCCGCGCCAACTCTTGGCTCGGCATTGGGCACGGAAGTTCAGAGACAACAACACCGATTACTCCCCCAAAAGTTTGGCTCGGATTTAACTTGGCACAGATATTGGCCCGGATTAAACCGGGTAGGCCAAATCTTTACCCGTTTGTTGGCTCGGATAAGTTCGTGCCAAATATTTTACCAAAATTAATTCGGGATTTTGGTACGGACGTAATCCGTGCCAAAATTAATTTAAAAAAAACTGTACACCGTACATATGTACGGAATACCGTACATATGTACGGTGTACAGTTTTTTTATAAAACATTTAACTGGAATCATATACTACTGCAGTCCAAAAAGATAAACATTATAGAGTATGTACTACACATGCAAATTATAAAGCAAATTATAGAACCACACCTGCAAATTATAGAGCAAATGAAAGAGCACAAATTAACAGAACATTATTATGTTACAGCAGTCCAGGCAGATAAACCACTGCCAAAATAGAAGCAGAAATGGCAAATAAATTGCCAGAAGATGTCCAGAACCAGTACAGAAATTTAAAGAGTTTGTTCATTACACAAATAGATCAGACAGCCGCACTTCATTCGAATCATGTAGCCCAGTCATTTGGGCGGAGGTCGGGGTACGAAAAGGGGAGAAATCAGGTAGCGGGACAGAAGGGTTCGAGCTTCGCACTTGCTCCATGTACGCCATAAACGCAGAAGTCATGTTCGCCATCTGAGTTTGCCACTGCTTTTCCTGCTGCGCAAAACGGGCTTCCAGCTGGTCCTTGATGCGGGAATCAATTTCCATCTGAGTCGGCCTCGATATCCGGCTGGTACATTCAAGGTCAGACATCGCTTCAGCTTCAGATCCCGTCCTAAACCGCCTGCCTTTGTACAACGGGACCACCGCGCAAAACAGCTCAGAATCATCCTCTTCGTACAACTTCCCTTGCGATTCAGCCTAGGCTTTCATCTCATTGTATTTTT